GGGCCTGAGGCGGGGGAAAGGCGTGGGAGAAGCTGTGAGGGAGCAGCCTAGGCTGGGGGGTGTTCTGGCACCCAGGGGCTGGCTGTGAGGCTGGGCTCTTCCCCTCCTTTCCCCTTCATAGCTATCGCAAACTTGCCTTGAAGAACCATCCTTTAAAATGCAAGGAGCCCTGGGCACCAGAGAAGTTCAGGCAGCTGGCGGAGGCCTACGATGTGCTCAGCGATCGTAAGTGGGGAGACAGTTCTCTTCCACAGAACTTAGGGGCAGGAGGGGCCGGGGGTGAAGCATCTCTGCTCTGGCCAGAGGGGTGCCGAGGGCTGAACCCCCGGTCACTGGCACACCCAGGGAGGTGGCATCAGCTCTGTGACCCACAGCCAGGCTGACTGCTGGCATGGATTCCTGCTTCCATCCCAATTTGCTGTTCTCAAGGTGGTGGGGGACCGCTCTCTCTGGTCTCTGCCCAAGTAAAGCCTGGATCTCAGGCTCTCCCCCAGCATGGGGGAGCGTGGCCATTCCCAACTCCTCCTTCTTCCCTAAGCCATGAAGAAAGGCATCTACGACAAGTTTGGAGAAGAGGGTCTCAAAGGTGGCATCCCCTTGGAATTTGGTGATGAGAACCCCTGGACCGCCAGCTACGTGTTTCACAACAACCCTGACAAAGTCTTCAAGGAGTTCTTTGGTGGAGACAACCCCTTCGCGGGTACGTAGCGGGGCTCTGGGGGTGCGGCCCAGGCCCTGTCTGTAGCTGCTGCAATGCCACGGCTACCGCCAGCTCTGAGCTTTAAGCTTTGCAGGGATGTTTCCCTGCCCAGCTATTCTCAGGTCGCTCTGGTGCTGTCAGTCCCCGATTCTTGGATGTGAGATCGTGACTTCCCCCGGTCTCGGGTGGATGGGAGGCCTGGGGGTACACGTTTGGGCTGTCAGCTCTTCCCAGCTACCGTTGTGAGCCTTTTCTTGGAGGATTTCCGTCAAAAAGAGGGCTCAGGTTGGCGAGGCTGCTGTAAACCACGTGAGCAAGATAAAAACACTCCTGGAGGAAAAAAAAACCACTCCAGCTGGAGGAGGAAGGTGATCCCAAGCAGGAGCAGATGGGAGGTTTCTGGGTGGCATATTTGGGGGTGCTTGGCTTCCAGGATAAGGAAACCCCAGAGGATTCCCCCCCCGACCTCTGATCCGAGTGAGGTGACCCCCCTCTGCTCGCTCACACAGAGTTCTTTGCTGAGGACGGCTCAGAGTTGATCCTGCCCTTTGGAGGACTGCGAGGACGAGGAGTGATGAAGCAAGACCCCCCGATCGTGCGGGATCTCTACCTCTCCCTTGAAGACCTGTTCTATGGCTGCACCAAGAAGATTAAGATCTCCCGCAGGGTGGGTGAAGGGGGAGCATGCTTGGCATGGTGGGGAATTTTGGGCCGGACTCTCCTCTTGCTGTAGGACGTTTTGGCAGCAGAGTCTGAGGCTTTAGGGCTGTTCCTGCTCGTGGAGGGCTCAGCAGATCACAGCACTCTATGTCTGTGCCATGGAGAGGGATCTGGACCAAACAGAGCACAAACACCGGCAGGATCCGAACTGGGATCCTCCTCTCTCCAAAAGGAATTCAGCATGAGAGGCGATGTGAAAGCTGGTGGGAACACAGGGCTGATTTCGGAGGCAGGTCACAAGGGAGCACAGTGTTTCCTGGGCTCCCACGTTTTCGTTTTCACACTGGGCTGCGTCTCCTTTCTGCTCTCGGTGACCTGCATCCCTCCTCTCGCTGTCCTGATCTCCTGGTTCCAGTCCTGAGTTTCTCTTACTCGATTTGATCCCGTTTGTACCCCCAGCCGCCTTGCTGTGGAGTAGGAGCTGTCCTTGCTCTCTTTGCTGGCTCGTGTGCAGCTGGATGAGCAGTGCTGTTATAACCCTCTCTTTTTGGGCACCGTGGTGTCACAGATCGCCTCTCTGTGTTGTCCCTTGGCGGGGTGTGACAGCCCTGCGGAGAAGGACTTGGGGGTGCTGGGGGATGAAAAGCTGGACATGAGCTGGCAATCTGCACTCACAGCCCGGAAAGCCAACCCCATCCTGGGCTGCATCCCCAGCAGCGTGGGCAGCAGGGCGAGGGAGGTGATTCTGCCCCTCTGCTCCGCTCTGGGCAGACCCCACCTGCAGCCCTGCACCCAGCTCTGGGGCCCTCAGCACAAGGAGGACACGGAGCTGTTGGAGCGGGTCCAGAGGAGGCCACCAAAATGATGCGAGGGCTGGAGCCCCTCTGCTCCGAGGCCAGGCTGAGGGAGTTGGGGTTGTTCAGCCTGGAGAAGAGAAGGCTGCGGGGAGACCTTAGTGCGGCCTTTCAGCACTGAAAGGGGGCTTGTAAGAAAGATGGGGACAGACTTTTTAGAGGGAACTGTTGCAACAGGACAAGGGGTTATGGTTTTAAACTAAAAGAGGGGAGATTCAGGCTAGATATAAGAAAGAAATGTTTTACACTGAGGGTGGTGAGGCACTGGCACAGGTTGCCCAGAGAGGTGGTCGATGCCCCATCCCTGTCTACATCCCAGGCCAGGTTGGACGGGGCTCTGAGCACCCTGCTCTGGTTAAAGCTGTCCCTGCTCACTGCAGGGGGTTGGGCTGGATGACCTTTAAATGTCCCTTCCCACCCAAACTGTTCCACGATTCAGCGCATGGTTGTACCGGCACAGACTGCCCCGTCTGCGTGGCTGTGTCCGGCACCGCAGGGTCATGATCCAGCCTGGGGGCTCAGCGCTGCGTGGATGGAGCCAGCACCTCGTGCCGGCTGCTCTGATGACAGAGCAGAGCCGAGCTCCTGCCTGGTCACAGCCCCAGCTCTTCCAATCCCCTTGTTCACCCCCTAGGTGATGAATGAAGATGGTCAAACGAGCACCATCAGAGATAAAATCCTAACGATCGACGTGCAGCCGGGGTGGAAGCAGGGCACCAGGATCACCTTCGAGAAGGAAGGAGACCAGGTGATGACGGTGTGAAGTTCTGGGCCGGGTTTCCTCGGGACTGACCGCACACTCTTTGCAGGTTTCCCATTTGTGTGGGCAGGTGGTGGCACGGCTCACGGGGTGGTTTTGTGTTCCTGTGCTCTGAGATGCTCTAAGGAGCCCTTCCTGCCTGGATTTGCCTTCAGGTAGATTAAAAAATAATAATTGGAAGGGATGGTTTTCTGCCTGTCGTCACCTTTGCGAAACCCAGTCTGATTTCCCTTAGCTTAGCAGGAGTCTTTATCAAAGACTATTTTTTCTTCCTTAAAGGAAAAAAAATGCTTTTCCCCTCTCCCCAGCCAGCTGAAAGCAGCAACAAAGGGACAGGCATCTGTGTCCACCTTGTGTAAAATAACTTGTGTTACACCAAACCATTTCCAGGTATCTTTATTTCCACCCCCCGCCCCGCCCCTTGATTTTAGGGCCCGAATGTCATTCCAGCTGACATCACCTTCGTTGTCCAAGAGAAACTCCACCCGAGGTTTAAAAGAGCCAACGACAACCTTATTTACGTCGCCACCATCCCCCTGGGCAAGGTAAAGAGCCAAGCGAGGGGACGGAGCCAGCCCCAGCTTACGTTCACCCTTTGGGGCTGCCAACGCAGCTCCACGTCCCGCTCCGTGCCTTGCAGGCGCTGATCGGTTGCACGGTGGGCGTGAGGACGCTGGACGGGAGGCTGCTGAACATCCCCATCAACGACATCGTGGAGTAAGCGCAGGGGGCAAACGGCTGGTGGGCTCAGGTGGTCGGACAGGGCCTTTCTGCAGAGTTTTGGTGGCCAAGGAGGCGAATGGGTGCTTTGGGAGGGACCTTGACCTTGGCCTGTTCCTCCTTGGCACTGGCTCGGCGCTTCCCAAGCACATTCCCCGTGCCTGGATTCTTTGGGGTGCTTCAAAACCTTTTCCAGCAGGTTCAGGGGGTCGCAGCCTGGAGGAGGAAGACGCCGGCTGTGGGCTACTCTTGGCGTATGGGGCCGTGTCGCTGGTGGCAGAGGGGGGAGAGGGCTTGGTGTGGGTGGGGGGAGTGCGGTGGGACACGAGGCTGGAAGAGGAGGGCAGGCGGCTGGTGGAAGCTGGAGGAGCGAACTTGCCCTGGGGAAACCCGCTCGGAAGCACGCGTGGGGCTC